TAGCCAGACTTGTTAAGAATGCGTCTGGATAATTAACAGTCTGTATGGTCCCTCCCTCACTCCACGACCCTATAATTCTGAGATGACACAGAGTGAATAATTACTGAAAAGCAAAAGTTACCGTATACTCCTGCTTCCAACTGAAATAGGATCCAATAACTAAATATGGGTTTTTGTTGGGGAAGGAAAGAAGGTCCTTATATGGGTGGTTCAGGGATATGTGATTAGGGAGGAATTGAGTTTGTCTGTAAGAGTGAGTTCAAGGTCCAGCAAAAGTTTGTGGAAGACAATGAGCCTTTGGTTGACCTCTCCACACAGCATGCTCCAGCTTCTCCTATGCACTGCGGTATTTTGCCTCCACGAGTCCCCCCTCCCACCCCCCCCCCTCGCCCCACATACACACACAAACACAGGACTGTAAGTTACAGGAATGGAGACCCGATGTCATCCTCAGGAGCAAGGACACAGTGGGTGCTCAATCATGAACTTTGCCCTTGTCTCTATTTAGCCTTCAGAACCTACTTTGGAGTCTTATCTTCAAGATAACCAGACCCTCCTTAACTCCACTGCAGCTGCTTAAAAGGAAGCTGGCTCCCTGACCGAACTCTGGTTAAACTCTAGCTTTGAAATATAATCTGGGACTTGATATATTTGTTGCTACTTCCAAAGGCTTGAAAAGCATAGGGACAGCTCACAGAGCCTCGCTGCTTTAAACTCTGCTGGTCCACCAGCAAAGCCACGCTTCTTCAGTTTTTCAATACCTCATCCTCTTCTCAATCTCTATTAATGTAATTTCTCTCCAAATGCACTCTCTACGTTACTGGAGAGGGTGCAGAGGCTCCTCAGAAAGCCAGAAAGGATAAAACACTGTGTTATTAACACTTCTTTGCATGGGGAGGAAGTTAGGATAAACTCGACCCTGACATTAACTTCAGTCTGGAATCCCATAGCACAGTTGGGGGCTCAGAACACAACAAACACAATCTTTCTGTGAAAAGATGATGCTTCTGGAGAGGGAGCAATAGGCAAACACACCAGAAAGGCCGCCCCCCACGTCCTCCCATTTCCTCCTGGAGTCCCTCCAGCACAGTTTCCGTTCTAACCAATTATCTGAAATGGCCTTCAGAAAGGTTTCCAGTGCACACACGGCCAAGCCCAATGAATTCCACACTGATCAGGGCCTCGCTGACCTTTCCACCGAACTGAGGACAGTTAACTCCTTCCTCCTCCCACACACGCTCTCTGGCCCTGATTTCTAAGTGTCACTGTGGGCCGGTTTACCTTGGGCCATGAGTATCCTTCCTCTAGAAAGGGGCCTCTGTGGTTCTTCTAGCACAGTGGTTCTCAACCTTCCTAATGCCGCGACCCTTTAATCCAGTTCCTCATGTGGTGGTGACCCCCAACCATAAAATTATTTTTGTTGCTACTTCATAACTGTAATTTTGCTACTGTTATGAATCGTAATGTAAATATCTGATATGCAGGATGTATTTTCATTGTTACAAATTGAACATAATTAAAGCACAGTGATTAATCACAAAAACTAGATGTAATTATATATGTGTTTTCCGATGATCTTAGGCGACCCCTGTGAAAGGGTCGTTTGACCCCCAAAGAGGTCGCGACCCACAGGTTGAGAACCGCTGTTCTAGGAGTTTAAGAGCTAGAGGGCCCTGAGTTGGTGGTCGTCATTCCTTTCCAAGGACATACTTGCTCCCTGAGGATTTCATCTGGAATATTAGAACCAGAGGATCCATGCAGGTTACACAGCCCATTTTCATGGTTTTCCAGGAGGTTCCATGAGCCTCCTCAGGCCACAGCTCAGGCGCCCGCCCACCCACTCCCCACCTTTCACTTCAACCAGGGCAGC